ACTGTGACATAGGCTTAGTATGGGAGTTGCAGGCTCCTAGTGATGGGCTCCTGACCAAAGTTGACTCTAGGGTACATACATGAAGGGCTAACAGCATATTGCAATCCACGTAATGCATAATAGGGCGATTTCTGAAAAGTACTTTATTTGGCAAGTACAGGAAAGATGAACACTTCTGCTTTATGATATGGCAGAAGTCCATAATGGGCTCCTGGATATGGCTCAAACTGTCAGAGTCAAAGATCCAAATTTAAAAAAAATGCTCAAGTAGCCATTTGGCGATTGAGTGATAAAAATCAAGTGGAATTTTATTCAGAAAAGAACTCAAAGCATAACATTTGTAAAGAAAAAATTTTTAAGACTTTCTTGGTCGCTAATTTTGTGTATGCATTACAAAAGACACAATCGGTAGGCATACATGACGTACTTAATGTTCAAGGGTTTGCAATGCATTATGGGGTGATTTCAAACATGAGCATCCATTTGCAAGTTTCCCGATGTGAGGAAATCCTTTATAGCAAAGCAAAAGGACAGACTGCTTTCTTTTCTTATGTTGAATGTTATAGAAGTAAAGATCTTTCACTATGTATTTCTGGAAGGACATAATAACTGAGAAAATAACCATTGTTGATCATCAACACAGAGAAATGTAGTCGCCATTATGGTAGCCTGTGAACGCAGATGTCTTTTCGGTAGTCGACTAAACCAGAATTTTTGGTCGCCAAAGATGAAATTTTAGCCGCATTGGCGACCGTACCGGTCACCACTTTGAGCCTTTTTAACAATTTATATAACCAAATTTTATGAATGGACAATAGGTGTTGGTGAAATGTGCAGACATCATGTCTGATCATAATGTGACATTGACCGGACATATTCAAAATTTGGTCGGACAATGTCTGATGACCGACTGTTATTTCCAGCCCTGTGTGTAAGACACGAATTTGGGATAAGCTGGAAGCCATCTGACTATTCCAGCGCAAACGATCCTCTGAGTCTCAGATGAAACTATAGGTGAGGAAATCACACAGTAAATTAAACACATTGCGTTTTTTTGTACTTGAAATAGAGACTTTTCTAAATGAATAGTAAACAAAACCTACGTCCTACAATGAGGTGATTAAGATTGCCGAGGCTTCAAACTGGTGAACTAGCTATGTATTTGTGGATTTTAATGAAAACACACGCACGCCAGAGGTCGTAATCTGGCCGTGTTTCTCAGTGACCATTCCGAATAGATAATTGTTTTGTTCTTTGAGCTTAGTCTTTGAGGAACAAAATATATCTAAATTACAAGCTTAGAATGGATCAAGCATTTATAAATATACACGGAAAGTGAAACAAATGAATAAGATTCCACTCTATAGTTACCAATGGAGATTGTGCTGAAAGATGAATGCGCTTGTCAGTCAACCGAAACGTAAACTAACAAGTCGAGAACTCCCAGGTTATTAGCGTACGTAAAATGGACATATCATTCAAAATAACAGTGAAGTAGAAGTGTATTCATTTAAGTGATGCTATACTGAACCTCTTTTCAAGATCTTGTCAAAGAATTTTCCACGATTTACTAGTGCAAAATATGCAAATTTTCATATACTACAGTCGGTTGACAATTAATAACAAGCGAAAAGTTACCTCAACTTTGGATATTTTTGGCTGACATCTCTGCTTATCTCTTATGTTAAAACTATTTTCAATCACTGATCTGGAGAAGTAGGTAGGAGTAGACTACGATTGCATTGCATATGAACTTGTATTCTGGTGGAAATTAGTGCTGAATCTAAAGATGTTTTGACACTCCGAAATCTGCACATTCCGTAAAGTCAAATTACCAACTCTTCAGGTGCACTGACATCTTTATAACTCTTAAAGAGCTCTCAGTTAGCCATTTTCAACCATTATTTGTACCTTTTATGACCCAAATGGACGGGCATAGTGTTGATCTTGATCCTGGCCTAAATTACAATGCGGCGATCCCGCACTTCAAAATGGAAAAAATATATATCGCAGCCGTCCAAATCGTAGCTAGACTCCAAATTGTAAATGCTAGATGATACAGTTCTTTCGCTAAAAAATCTTGTCCAGTTTTGACAAAATATGAATCACAAATAACCCAAAAATGTTTTGACAGCCCTCGAATCTCAGTCAAAAGTCTCTCGAGTGTTTTAGCCCGGTTCCCGAAGTGACGTCACTACTAGCCCGATCCAGATTCCACTTTGCGGGGTCGTGAACACAGAAATTACATATTCAAACGCCTGTAGAAGCGCAGGGACTTTATCAGTCGAGAGAATTTTTTCGCTGAAGTAATCAGGAAAACTAGTAGCTTTTATTAAAGGAATAAAAATGTTTGGGGTTAGTGGCACTTTAATGGAAGTTCTAGCAAAACTTTTGCTCAAACCACATATGCGAAGATGTGTTTGCTTGTCACTCGCCGACTTGAACGAATGTACGTTATATTTGTACAAAACTAAGCTGAGCAAGCTTTATACAGACCTGCAGTCTTTGGAACTACATCTGCTCTGAGCTGTAAACAACAAAAGAAAGTATCAACTAACAGTAAAGGTATAGCACATATGCGAACAAGTACAATGCAAAAACTTGTCGAAGAAAAAAGCACGCTGGGTGTGTGCAACTGTCATATGAACGACAACCAAAGGAAAGTGTGCTTACCTCGAAGACGATACGACCAGCTGGTTTACCACCAATAGTAATATCGAAAAAACATTTAGGTCTAGCCATAGCTGCGCAAACAAATCGACGAATTAACAAGCTAATTCTAGCCAGAATAACTTCGTGAAAGGGAAGGGCTGAGTGTAGACGATCAGGCACGTGTGAACAGAATAAGCACCCTGGAAATATAGATCGACCACCCCTAGCATAGAGTATCATGCCTTTCATTGGTGCAGAAGACAAAAACTGTGTCAGTTTTGGAAAATTACATAACCATATTTGGATGATCGTCAACAAAGTATGACGTCACTTACTAGCCCCCACCTGGGTAGTCACAGGTGGGTTGCACACTAGGACCGCAATGCATTTTATTGCCAGCTTTCCAACATGGCGGAAGATTGTTTTGATACGAGCGGTATTTTGCGTTATATCTGTTCATCGTTTTCTCGGGTTTCGCTCACCTTTTCTATACCAAAATGTTATATTTGGAAAGTTTGAAGGTAGCTAAGTCAGATTTTGGTATTGAAGTTCTTGCATTTAGAGTTTGTCAAGGTAACTTATGGCATTTCTCGAACAAGGTAAAATTCTCTCATTTTTGTCTTTGTCTAGTCAGGTCGAAACTTTTGGTCGCTCACGGCTTTCAGGTACTGGTACTTGGCCCAAAAGTGCAATGAATCAAAAGCTTAGATGTTTTCCTGCACGGCGAACATAATGCACCAGTGTGCACCAGCAGATTTTTGCCGTTTCCACTGAACGAAAATTTCCTTTTTAACGGTGCCTACTGAATACAAAGGTTTTTGCGCCAGGTTAAGACCCCGCGGAAAAAGTAGATCTTTGCAAGGGCTATTGGAATCCACAAAGAACAAGAAGATCCGTTAGATCTTATAACCGCGCTTTTAAAATTTAACTGTTTTCTTAGCGCTACAGTCACAACGCAGTGCACATTCCAAAGCAATCCTTGATGATTCAACAAAAATGCTATCAGCATTTTTCTGAAAAAAGAAGGAAAGGACATTTCTTCACAGATTTTCTTAGAATTAGCCTTCACATACAAAGTCTGAGAAGCAAACACATTTATAAAGATCTTAAAGGTACATGGTAAATGGTAACATAAAAACCATTTTTGATATGTTTTTAATAACAAAATCATTGCAACAGGCTTTTAGGTCTCTGACAGTGCGCACTACACTATCTGCAGGTTCATGTTCACAGTTGGATTTCAGTATAATTTTCGACAGATAACAGCTAGTTTTTCAGCTGGTAGACATTAACAGTTAGAGGTTAGCGATATGCTTCTAGTCTGGTGTTTTTAGTTTAAGTACAGGTTCATTAAACTTGATTTGGTCACAACAGGAAAATCTTTCTTTCATTTTAGTTGTGTACTTGGTAGTGTAGTTGATTGTGTCAATGCAACCCAGTGTGTGCGTGGCACTTCAACCATGCATTGCCTGATGCGCAGAACGTGTGCGCACTAACAAAAGTAGGCACTGTCCGTAAGCTCGTGGACATGCGAAGCATAGAAATGTGTTTGTTGCGGGGACTCTGATATGCAAATGTATCACTCACTCACTCACTCACGAATGGTCGCTTCTAGTTCTTAGGACATGTTTTAGAGGAAACAAGACTATTTAGATTAGAAAAAGGTCTAAGGTTTACAATAGTAAGTGCAGCTGACGATTGTTTTGTTCTTGTTGCATGCAAATATAATGAGATATTTTTATTTTTTAGTTGCAAAGGGTAATTTGACACTTGTTTTTCACATGGGAGTAAATTCAGTTAGAGCTGACGAGTCGTCACCACTCTTTCCCACGAGATTTGCTATCTTTAGGTACAAATGGTAACTCAACACTTTTGGTTTTTATATGGGAGTAAATTCAATTAGAGCTGACAAGTTATCGGCCATTGTTCACAGGATATTAAACAAAAAAAAGCTTTCATTTCTAGACGGTTTTTACGTCTGCAGTAGCAGTTTATTTTTATTTGATGGGCATTTTATGACATTCTTTTCAGTCCGATATTTTTAAAGGTAAAAAGTATCAAAACTGCTCAAATGTT